ATCAACCACAAAAAAACCTGGAATCTTCAGTATTTGGAATCAAACCTATATAGTTTTAAATAACTGCCATATGAAAGAGTAAGCAAAGGGGTGTGTATTATAAACTATTTTAATTCAGAATGAAATCAGAAACAACACATTGGTGTTTGTTGAATGCAGATAATGCATTGCTTAGAGGGGAATTTATATCCTAGGTTTCATTAAAAATAAAAAACAAAGAAAGAATGGGGTAATAAGCATAACAGAAACTAATGAAATTAACAACAAAAAATAGAGGAAAAAACAATAAAAAATAAAAGGTAGTTTCTTGCAGAAAACATAAACAGACAATTCTCTTTATAGCAGACCAAATAAAAAATACTTTAAATGTCACTTTGAAACCTAAAAAATATTAGGTAATAAATAAATAGCATAACACAAATTCAATAATATAGATGAAAATGTCCTTGAAAGACACAAAATGCCAAAAAAAATGTACGAAAATAAAATCAAGATAATCTAATATCTATCAATTGAATTCTTATTCTGAGACCTTCCCACACAAAATTCTGGGCTTAAGTGCCTTAATTAGAGTCCCATGAGATGACTCAGTGGGTAAAGGTGCTTGCCACCAAGCATGACAGTATGAGTTCCATCCCTGGGACCCATACAGGGAAGGAGAGAATGGATTCCCCCAAGATGTCCCCTATCCCTCCTTCTCTGTCTCTCTGTCTCTGTCTGTCTGTCTCCCCCCTTCTCTCTCTCTCACACACACACATACACACACACACACACACACACACACACACACACACACACACACACAAATAGATCCCTTGGTAAAAAAAAAATCTACTGAATGCTAACAAATAGTAAATCTACACACACTTTCTGAACTATAAGAAGGACAAACACTTCTGAATTCACTTTATGACATGAACATCACACAGATGCTAATCAGATAGTAACATATCAAGAGTGCCTATTGAAAACACCTACACAATTCGTTGAACACAGAGGAGTTGAACTGGTGCCTACCTAGAGCCTCACCCCTACAGGCTAATGTTAATGGTACTGAAAGTTATTTAGCATGGTACTAAAGGTGAAAGGTAAACACCAACCCAGCTACAAACCATTTGATCTACACAAATGACCTGCCTCAAAGATACACTGGTACAATAATGGCACAAAGCTTGTGGGAGTAACCAACCACTACCTGATTTAATGTCCATTCCATGAGATGGAACACATACCCAATGTTGATTGGGTGACTAAGAGTCTGAGACTAGCTAGGCTAAAGACCTAGGGGAAATCTAAATAGTAGTGTTCTGTTAAAGGAACATAGCAATAAAATGACTCCTAATGACATCCTCCTATAATCATAGAACAGTTTTTTGGTTCAGTCATCAACAGAGAACCTTTCTCCTGCAGATGGGAATGAATACAAAGACCCACTGTCGGACATTATATAGAGAGTGGAGACCTTTGAATACCCAGTCCTGTAAGGGATGCTTCCATCAAATCCCTCCCCTCAGGAAACTGCAAAAGAGGAGGCAGGAAGATTGTAAAACCCAGAGGATATGGGGGACACTAAGAAATCAAGGCCTTCTAGACCAACAGGACTGGGGCACATATGAACTTGTGCCAGTATGCACAAGGTCTGAATGGGTCTGCACCAGATGGGATCCTAGAACTGAAAGGAGAAGTGGATACACACCTCCATTCCTAACCCAGAAGCTATCTCCAACTGATAGCCAGTTACAAATGGAAACTTGGTTTTTTCCTACGGAGTTCTCACTGGGGAAAGAAACTATTCACAAAGGCAGGCTGCATGCCTAGCAGCATTTCTGGAAGTTCTTTATCTCTGAATGCTATATCGAGGCAAGGCTTTTTGTTTTGCTTTGTTTTTTTTTTTCTATCTTATAGAAAAAAATCTTTTGCATGTATATTATAGCTTCCAGTTTGGGGTTCTTAGGGGATTCCCCAGAATGCAAACCTGTGTTATTTCTGTATCTATATACATGTATTGTACTTTTTATTTGTTGTTCTTTTTCTTGTTTGATTTTTTCATATTTTGATTTGTTGATTTACCTTATTTTATTATTATTCTTTGGATACCTGTTTGCTTTCTAAGGAGAAAGGCTGTGGATCCAGTTGGGAAGGGAGGTGGGGAAGAACTGGGAAGCATAGGGTGAGAGAAAACCATAAGTAGAGTATATTGTATGAAGAAAATCTATTTTCAACAAAGAAAAACATTTGGGGGGGACTGGTTTAAGCTGTCACAGTAGCTCTCCAGCTTGGCTAAAGGTCAGGGCATAGACATCTTTTACAGTATTAATGAAAAGTCTCTTCAGAATGTCTGGCCACAGTGGTTCTCTGTATGCATTGCCTGACTTCCATTGCAGCCCTGAGACATCCCAGACAGCCCCAGTCCTCCTCCCTGGGTGTCACGGTTGTTGTCATCCTGGTGTTGTCACTATTTCTGCTCACAGCCTGATATTTTCCACCATTGTTGAAAACATTCTCTGTGCCTTCCAAGTTCTCTACCATGAATTTCCTAGTAAATGTGGCCCTCTCAGAACCCTGCAAGCAGAATTAAGATTTGTTTTTTCTTCCATACAGCTCCAAAGCACATGTAAGTCTCTGTGCATAGTTACCCCATGTCTTTGTACACCTGCGTGCAAATCTGTGTTTATGTCTGGTTCTCATTTTAACTGCAAACTCAAGAGAGTACAGAGTGTATTTTCAGTTTTCCTTTCATGTCTGCAAGAACCTTGAGATGACAGTCCATCTTCTTGGTTTTTAAAGAAGTATTTGTTGAATTATTTAGAGTTGAATCAAAAATAATACCATCCTTAGTAGCAAAGAATAAAAATGAAAGAAAAAATAGAGTGCTTGTGGATTGTTCAAGACTCTGGGTTTCATCTATAGTATGACAAAAGATGAGCACACATCAAAATCCCTGATGACAATACATGAAAAAGTCCTCAAGTTCATCAATGTATGAAAATAATAACATAGCACTACCAGAAGGATTTTCTGCAAGCTACATCTGACTATTTCAACATCTCAAAGACAATCAATGCAACTCAACTGCAACACAGCAAACAAGAAAGCTCATGTGGATATTTTAGTTTGGCCCAAAATTGTTTATTAAATTCCATATTCTCTTTTGACCAAAAAAAAAATCCAGTCATCTAGTACAGACAGGAACTACTTTAACCTGTGTCTAGCCATGAAGCAGTCATGAAAGCTTTATGCTAAGTTTAGGACTAAGACAAGAAAATCCACTCCCACCAGCCGTGTTTAACACGGCAGTAGAGAAACTTTCCAGTGTAATCAGACAAGAGAAAGAATGAATGAGTTTGACTCTTAGAAGAAAAATAGAACTAGGGACAAGTGAACTAGCCCTTGGTGGACAAACCAATTAACAAACTAGTGCATGCATCCAGTGGGACAGGATTCAGCAACATAAAGAAACAATTAGATGGGCAAATCTCAAATGTGTTACAGTAAGTGAAGGGGGCCAGATTGAAAGGGCACAAACTCCATCACTTCATTTAGATGACATCCTAAAAACACAAAGAGTAACAGAGGCAGAAAAAAATGTTTTAAGTCATGTTTGCCATCATCTGCAGGTAAAGGATTGCCCTCCGAGAACTGTGTGGGGATTCTTTGCAGTGGTGAGATTGCTCCGTACCTTACTTGTGGCTACAATATGCTCTAAACAGTAACAAAACAGTAGGCCAAGGTGACTTTCATCTTATGTATGCATGATGGCCCGAGTCTGGATTCCCAGAACTCATGCAAACAGCTGGGTACGGTATGTATTTATAATCCTAGTATTGGGGCAGGCAGTGGAAGAAGAATTCAAGGGACTTGCTGACCAGATAGTCTGGCTGAATAGACAAGCTCTAGGTTCAGTGAGAGATCTTGTTTCAAAAGGATGGAAAGCAATTGAGGATGGCACTTGGTGTCTGGACATCACATGCATAATCATACATGTACATAACAGCACACACTCAAGCTCACACAGAGAGAGAAGAAAAGGTTGCAAAAATAGGATACTTTTATTGCCTTAAACACCAAGATCCCACATGGCTGGTAAGATCCTCCCCTAAAAAGATGAGACTAGAAAGAATCATTGAAAACAAACAGAAAGACAATATGGTATCCAACAAGAAGGGAAGTAATGACTTAGTCTGGGTGTGAATAATCTACTAATATATGTGGATTATGCATGCACACATGACACATATATCCCACCCCCTCACCTCAGCCAACCATTTGCCTTTGTCTCTTAACCAGGTGGGATGATCTCTCTACAGGTTAGAGGATTAGAACTGTGGAAATTTTATGCTGAAAATGGCCATAGCTTTCCCAGACTTAATTACATTTATGTCATATCCATGGCGTTTTTATTAAAGCCCCACTTTGTGCTCAGTTTTGACAACATAAAGTGTCATAGGCAACTTTTATTAACTATGTCCTTATCATTCCAGACTAAAAGCAAATGAAGCCATCCTATTTCAAAGATCCCCCATCTACTGTCATCTCGAGTCATGTCCCAGTGAGACGCTGTGAGAAGTATTCTTGGAGTGTTATCAACTACAAATTCTGCAACAAGTATGGCTGTTTGCACAGGATTTCACACTGAATAATATAGTAACATCTAGAAATTCCTAACCTAGAGGGAAAGGGAAAAAAAGAACATTTTAAAAGATATTTTAAAAAGCATGGCATGTGCACAGGGACTTCTCCAGCAGAGCCCTCAGATTCATTTTAAGCTTTTCACTTGCTCGGAACTATTATTTTGAAATATGGAGCCCAAACATGGATCTTGTAAAGCTCCATAGAACAAAAATATTCCTGTGGACTCTATCTCTCAATCAGAAGCCAGGATGGGGGATGTATAAGTGGCAGAGAAGAAGTGAGTTCAATGTGATACTTAAGAGCAAATCCAAATGGACTGTACAAGGTTTCTAGAAGAATATGGAAACAAAGGGTACTGAATGGCTTACCTTGCTTTTTTCCATTAACTTTTTCTAAAGGGCCAGGGAGCTGGGTGTCAAAGCCAAGCTGAAGGCCACATGTCTGCCTCTCAAAGTGACGTTCTTCTTCAGCAATAGAAGAAAGCATGTGTGGGGGCTTCGGTCCAGCTGGGATCTGATTGGGCCACTGGTGTATTATAGAGCATGAGTCTTTGGCTTGTTGATCAAGTCTGGGGCTTGCCATTCTGCTAGAGTCTTGCAAATCACTATTAGAGCATGAGAAATGGTCCTCTCCAAGAAATAGGGAGTTTGCCTCCTCTGAATTCCCATCATTGCCCTGCTCTTCATCTTCATAGTAGGTTTCCTGAATCTTAGTATCTTCTAAGTCCTGGTCTGGCTTGTCACTCAATGCTGAATCGTGTTTGCTTAAAAGAACCAGAGATGCAGACAGTGCATCGCCTGCTTGCTGGAGAGCTTCATAAACCCGGGATAACCAGGAAGACAAAGGCTGGAAGAAGTTCTGGGCATCCTGAGATGCCATGGCCAACACCATGGCCAACTACCTCACGTGCACAGAGTCCACTCCTTTGGTTTCTCTAGAACTCTGGGCTTAGGTGAAATACAATATAAGCACGATGAGAAATTTGAGGTCTCCTTTTTTATAACAGGCAAAATTTTATTAATGTATACATAAAGAAAACATGTGCAGTACGTGAGCACCGTTGGCTGTAACTAAAACCAGGCAGCATGCTGGTTCCTGTGCCAAGGTGTACGGAGTAGGTCTTTGCAGGGAACAGAGCAACTGTGTTTGATAGGGCAGTCTCTTAATGGCTGTGAACATTTCACTCTCAGCACTTCTCAGCTGAAACAGAGGAAAGACATTCTTACACCTGTTAACGTCACAACTGCAGACCCATCACCAGATACCTATAATCAATGTCCAATAGCATTTGGGGCAGGAGAGACAAAAAAACTTTATATTGACCTCTCATGGTGGCTAAATAAAATTACTTTGCAAATCTAAATGTGGGTTCTACCCTTGCCAGTACACCTCCTCAGGCTCATGCACAACTTCCATTAGCAGTAATGGGTTCTAGGCACATGGGCTGAGAGAAGTCTGCTCCCCATAGGCCAGCTTAACAATGTGAACAGAGTAAAGGATCCATGGGAACAGTCAGTTAGGCATGACATTTCAAAATGCAAGAAAAGCTGGAGGTTTTGTGAACAAACATGCAGGACCCAGGGAGCTAATAAACAGGCATTTCTGCTTTGCCACACAAAGGTTTATCCTCTCAAAGGAAATGTGTGTCTGGAATTTCAAAGCTTCCAACAAATCTTAAAATAGAGTTTTACAATTTTATTCAATCTCTAGAAATGATGTCTATTCTTGGGGAGAAATCACTGAAAATCGGTGCATGGCAAATGCATCACCCAGCTTCCTGGAGATATATCGTTGGTATCTTGTGCCTTTGACTGTGTACCCCATCTCCTGAAGGTAGCTCTCTGCAACTTGTGGGTCTTTTGAAACATACTTCATCTCATAGGATTCATATTCTGAAAGAGGTAGCTCCTGGACATCCATAGAAAGGACAATGTGATAGCCACATAGCATATGCCTATGCTTTTACACTCATATGCAAACATAAACCTAGGTAGATTTATGTATCTACATGGGTGTAGGTCTCTCACTGCTGTCACAGTGTAGGATAAATGCCATTAGTTGTTTCTTTAATAGCAACATCTTCCCTCATTATCTCTCCACTACTGAAGTTTCAACCCTCTTGATCTCGCCCTTTACTACCATTGTTTATACTCCCTTAAAATGTTCTTGTTAGTGACTTATAGATACACTGATTCATTCAGTAAACAAATAAAAAATACTGACTAAGTACCTATTAAGTACTGGGTATAATGCCAGGTATAAGGTAACCCTGAGACCCCTGTCCTCATGGAACCTTCATTTCAGTTAAACAGAAACTGAGCTCTCAGCAGTCTCCTCTGAAACCAAATAATTCATACATCACTTTGTAGCTCTTGTCTTCCTCTAATGGTATATTTGCAACCACTCCTTGGCCCATGCCTTCTCCTCATTCCCTTTTATACCTGCTGGAAAGGCTAACCCATCCCTATTTTTGTTTCTTTGGTTGGTTTTGCCTTCTTTGGTTTGCTTAGTTGGTTAACTGGGTGGTTGATTGGTTTGAGATAGTGTCGTATCTCTTGGGATGATCTTCCACTTGCTCTATAGCCGAGAGTGATCTTGAACATGTGGCCCATAAGTCCTCACATTCTGAGTGCTAGGATTGCACACTTGTAAAACTGCATCTTGTTCATATTGTGCTGGGGCCAAATCCAGGGCTTCCATATTCTAGGAAGCATGCTACCAACTGAACTGTGTGCCTCCAGTCTCAATCCTATTTTAATTTTAAACTCTTATAAACTCAAAACAAGCATCTCCAGTCATTAGCTTGCTCCTTCTTTTCTTACCCTTCCCACAAATCCAAGTCAATGGTATTTGAGCTTTGGTAGTTCAGAGTCTTCTAGGAAATTAATAAAGCACATAAAGGCCTAGGCTGGCTGCAGGAATAAGCCTAGCCAACACTGCTGTATTTCTGTTATCTTCCCTGGAAGACCAAACCTCTACTAAATGTAAATATTTTTTTAAAAAAATCTTATGTAAGGAAACAGATATGCATTAATGTGTCACACCAAAATCTTAAATTCAGCTATTTCAAACCCTGTATATCATTTTGCTGTGGGGATTTACCTCTTGGGTCACAGGGCCTTGTGACTGTGACTCTCTCTTCAACCCACTCCCCTTCTGTTCCAGTCAATCTGCCATTAGCTTTTGCTCTCCAGTGATTGCTTTCCCAAGCTCCCAGTCTCTCACATCACTCACCTGGTTCGCTTCAGTCTCTCATCTGTTCCAGCTTCCATGGAACCCTCTGTTCCCCACAGCCTGACTTTCATCTGGCTTTACTGCCTTTCTACTTTGGAATGTAGACACAATGGAGAGTGGAGGCCACCTGTTTTGTTCTGTCTATCTCAGTGCCTAGAATTGTACTGAACACATGATAAGTGAATCAGTAAATAAAAATCATAAAACTCATTAGAATCATGCCTAAAACAGTGCTCAGGAGAAATTATATACTCAATAATTTTGATAAATTTATAAATAAATCCTCCATGAAGCTGTCATGAAAATCTCCAATGATGTTATTCCACAAGTTTCCTATTTAGTACATTATCCTGTCAGCATTTGCTCCACCCAATTTCACAACCCACCATTTTGTGGTGCCTTCGATGTTCGGATGACTTCATTTATTTTACATATGACCCAGAAAGTATTTTGCCTAAGTGCTTCAGGGTGTTAGAGACCTGGAAGGCCTCTCAGAGAAATCAGTGACTTTAGCCATCTTCTCCTGTCCTTACAATTCATATAGCCCCACTTTTCATTCTAATGGAATGTCCAGCTGAGCATAGGCTGGCCCCAAAGAAACTGCCACAGAGTGAGGAGGCAGCCACTCCTGATTACCCCTCACTTCGAGATCCTATATGCTAGTTATGCTGATACACTGGGAATTTTTACAAATGACCGTGATTTTTCCATCACTTTCATGTGTTTATCCCAAGATGTCCTCACACCTAGCCTGCCTCATTTTTTTTGCATTGAAACTCTAATGGTTTTCTCTGCTAATTCTTCATCTACAATTAAAGACATTGCCTCAGAGTACTTAGAATATGTCTTTAGTTTATAAAGCTAAATTTCTTTGTCAATATTCTTCTCATGGATTAGAAGTCCACAAGTTTGGGGAGTACTCTTACAGGTTATGGCTCCATAATCCACATAAAGCAGGAGGAGCTCTGAACATGGTGGGGAGATGGATGGATAGATGGATGGATGGATGGATGGATGGATGGATGGATGGATGGATGGATGGATGGATGGATATGTGTATGTATTGATGGGTGGACAAGTAGGTGAATGGAAAGGGTATGTAGATGAGTGGATGGGTGGGTGGGTACATATGCATATGGGCAGGTGGATGAATGGATAGGTGGTGGGTAGACGGGTGGATGGATGGATAGGTAGGGATGGTGTGTGTGTGTGTGTGTGTGTGTGTGTGTGTGTGTGTGTGTGTGTGTGTATAAATGGATAGATGGTGGGTGGGTAAGAGGATGGATGGATGAAATGAAAATGTTTAAAACCAAATGGTCTTGAATCTATCATTTATCATCCTCTTTAAAGTGAATTCACTTACTCTATCAGTTTCTTTTGTCTCTAAAATCCAAGAACATGCTAGATACACCAAAGAGCATAGTAGCAGAGACTGGAAATGTTAAGAATAAAATTTCATTTTCAGGGATGAGTTCTAAATCTTTGTTAATTTGATAATATGATAATTCACTATCATATTATCTCAAAACAATGCAAAAGAGACAAAATCTCTATCTATATATGGGGGAAATGTCTAGTTTATTTTATAACACTGAAAAGGAACAGAATACTATGGAGTTGGTAATACTGGGTACCACTCATAAAATAAGCCTGAACCCAAGGGATATCAGTACAGACAAAGCAGTCATGGATATGTATTTAAGTAAATGTCAACTCAATTGAGAGGGCACACCAAGGGAATACTTTCTTATAACTAGTGAGAAGATGACTTGGCTCCTAGTGGGATGAATGTATGGGAAAGAGAGACAGAGAGGACAGGGGGGAAGAGAAAGAACTTTATTATGTTACTGTGATAAAACACTCTAACTAAAAACAACTTGGGCAGAAAATGGTTGATTTGGCTTAAACTTTAAACTTCCAGGTCATAATCCATTATGGAAGGAAGTCCTAACAGTAACTCAGGAATGTGAAGCAGAAACCATAGTAGACTTGTTTGCTGGCTCACTCATTCTGACTTACTCCATCTCACTCATTTGTTCTCAGGCTCAGCGAGCTCCCTTATATTGCTCAGGACTACCTTCCCAGTGAATAGCCCTTCTCACAGTGGGCTGAGGCTTCCTACATTAATAATCAATCAAGATAATCTCTCACAGACACACCTATAGACCAACCTTTCCCAGGTGATTCTAGGATGTGTCAGGTTGATAAGTTAATTTTAATTAGAATGAAAGGGAGGGAGGGAGAGAGGTTTTTCCTTTCCAAATCTTTAGATTAAAAGGAAAAATACACTAAAAGTATTGAAAAGGCTTATTGGTAGTTATTGGTAGAGTATCATTATGAGACATGGAAATTAAACAACAGAAATATATATGTTTGTGCATGAAAGAGAGTGTGTGAGAATGTATAAAACACATGAGTTCTTGTTTGTGGGGTGGAGTGAGGTTTACTGCCTCTCAAAGTACTCAGAATAATCTAGAAATCTAAAGACATAGAACAAATTGATAAATAAAAAGCATTGGTGGCACACACCTTTAATCTCAGCACTCAGGAGGCAGATGCAGGTGGATCTCTGTGAGTTTGAGACCAGCCTGGGCTACAAGAAGAAAAGGAAAGGAAAGGAAAGGAAAGCCAATGGTGTATTCCCAAGAAGTGTGTTTTTGAAATCCTACTTTAATTAGAATTCTGCTTTAATTGTAATGGTAACGAATTGAACTACAATCATTTTAAATATAGAAAATTACTAAGCAGAAAACAATAGATTGTGTTTCTATATAGGAAACCCATGAAATCCTTGAGTTATATGCTTTCTCACATATTTTTAAGTACTCCACCAAAGGCAATTGTTAACAGAGAATACAAATGCTTGTGGACCTATAGAGGCTTTTAGTTATATCTTTCTGACCTCCTTTTCTTCTAATGGCAACTTCCTACAGGAGGCTGTGATGGGGGAGGTCCTTCTGTGCATGATTGTCTTATTGGTTGAAAAATAAAGTACTATTGGCCAATAGGAAAACAAGATAGGTGGGACTAGGAGTCAAGGAGGATTCTGGGAAAGGTAGGAGAAAGCAGAGTCACCATGTGAGCCTGGGAAGATAGGACACTTGCCACTGGCATCCAACAAGATAAGTCTTATAAAATATATAGATTTATGATAATTAAGACTGAGCTAGCAGATGAGAAATCCTAGTCATTGGCCAAGCAGCATTTGTAAGTAATATAAGACTCTGTGTTACTTCGGACCATAACGTGGCGGCGGGCAGGACTTGGGCTGCTTGGAGTAAAGACTTATTGTTATAAGGCAGGAAGAGTTAGAATGTAAGAAACATCAGCTTGTAGAAAACCACAAAAACCTATGATGGAAGTGTGCAAGCCTGTGTCATTTTCAAAGGTTTCTGAGCTCCTGGAGAATAAATTACATTCTAAAAGGCAGGGAAAGTGTTTCCAATAGCACGGTTTCCAGGTAACCAAATCCTAAGTCAAAATCATATACAAATCTACCTTCAAACATGTGAGGATGTTTAGCATATTTTGAAAGATGAATCACCTTGTAAAAACCCTTCTCACTCTTCACCACGACTCTTAGGCCAATCTAAGGAAGAGTCAAGAATACCGGATTTATCTAGAGTGCCTCCTTCACAGGCAGCTGTCAGATAACTTCCCATGTCTACAAAATGTAGTATTTATTATTGTCACACTAGTCTTAAACTAATTAAGTCTACCATTATCAAGCCTGATGGAGAAAGTCATTTTTGAATTGCCTAAGAAGGTTTGGAAGATGAATAATGCATGCAGCAAAAATAAGAACTACAAAATGGGCTGTCATGCATCTTTCACATGATTCAGAAGTATCCACAGGTGTTTTCTTTTAAAAAGCAAATTTGTTATGTGGGTAGAGATCTTTGCCATTGAAATGAAATACTTTTTGAAGCATTTGTCCAAGACATGTTGGCATCTTAACAAATATAAAAATAGACTACTGGAGCAAGGGACATAGCTTAGTCACTAAAGAGCTTGCTGCTCAAGACCAAGGTCATGAGTTCAATAACCCACCAAAAGTCATGCAGAGCAACACATACTTGTAATCTCAGAGTTGAGGAGGCAAAGACAGGAGGATCCCAAGGGCTCACTGGCCAGCCAGCCTAGTCAAACCGATGAACTTCAAATTCAGTGAGGGACCCTGTTTCAAAACATAAGACAAAAAGCAATGAAGAATGCTCAATGTTGACCTCTAGCCTACAAGTGCATTGTGTGTACACCTGCACACACAAGTGGACATATACAACACACACACACACACACACACACACACACACACACACACACGGCTTCCATGCAGTAATATGGATACAATACAGCAGGGTCTCGGACACACCTTTACTACTGGGCTTTGGGGATGGGGGAGGAAGAACAGTGGATATAAATTGAAAGGAGAACTTCCTTATGATCAAAATACATATTTACCAGTTAATAATGAGATGAGTCAGAAAGAAAGGGAAGGAGGGAGGGAGTGAGGAAGGGAAAGCACAATTATTTTAGAATCATTGCAAACCAGAGCTGCCTTGGATCCACCCTTCAGTTATTTCAAATCATGGACATGTACCTGGACACCAGTATGTTCTCATTCATAATGCAGAGATCGTAACTCCCTATATTGTACTTCATCTTGTAAATTATATTACAGAATATTTTTTAAAACATAGAAAGAATCCAGGGTGTAGCAGGAACTTAATAGCAGACATTCATTATGTTGAACTTTGTAATGTTTTATAAGGTAAAATATTTAATATATCTTTCTGATATGTGAATATCTCAGAAAGGGTTATCTCTCTGTCATGTTACTATATACAATATTTTTGAGAACTTTCACAAATAAAAGCTTGCATAAAAGACAATAGTTTTCCCCTTTTATAGATGGAAACTCTGAGGCTCATAAAGGGCGCATGCCTTGTTTAACGTTTATTATCTGGCTTAAAGAACAGAAGTGATATTCCAGTTCTCTCCTGTTGAATTTCAAATGACTACTCCAAAACTTCACAAAAGGCCAGTAAGACTGTGGCAACTGTAGACATATCAAAGGTGGGACTATTCTCCCAGGAAAAGACAAATGTTGAGTTTAAACTGAGACGCCTGTCTGACTTGAAGGTTTGGCATTTTTTATGTT